ATTGTTATGCTGTTTTAAAATTAAATACATATATTATTATCTATTATTCGAAACTTTCAAGAGCAAAATGGGCAATGAGTTTGTACTCCCTCTAGACGGGTGGGGTGGGATGTCTATGGTTGAGGCTCAGCATTAGGGATATCAGGGGCAGGAAACAGCTGTGTCCTCTCCCATCCACTTCCCTGGAAAGTTGCTTTATTCTGGTTCCCAGCACACCTCTCACTCTGTCACCCTGACACAAACCCCCTCCACCCCCATTCTGTAATACTCCTCCTGGCAACGGTGCCATCAGATTGACTCTGAGGTGTGATTTTAAAAGAGGCCTGGAATTTCTCGCTGGCCTCTATCTTCCTTCCATCTGCTCTTTTAGGAAGCCTGAGCACGGATTCAGTCCCTGAGGTCACGCCAAGGCAGGGAGCTGACCCCCGCCCCACATCCCCATGCTCTGGGCCCTACAGCCCATCTGGCAGACAGAAAGAGCTAGAAAGGACTTGCTACTTGGTGGCCTTCCAGGACACCTGGCTCTCCACCCTTCTCCCAATCCTAACAACTCACACCAGCTGACATGACAGGAAATGAGGGTGAGCAGAAAGGCCTGCGGCCAAGAAGTCCACTTTGCTGAGGTAGGGAACAGGGTGCGGGCCCACCTCGCTCCCCGAGCACCTCCTCCAGGGCTACAGCCTGTTTCCAGCAATGTGTCTGGACGGGGAGGCTTAACTCCTAGAGCCTTCCGTCCTTGAAGCAAAAGAAGCTGCTAGCGGGCTCACATAGAAATGGGGCCTGGGCGGGGGGAGGCTCGTAACTTCCTAGAGGTGCAGCCGAGGGGATCAGACGTAATCCCAGGAGGACCCCCAGGAGGGATCCACGTTGATCACAGTTTGGGGACAACGGGGTCCTGGAGTTAGGCTTTGGCTGCTCTCTGAAAAAGCCCTCCAGCTGTTGAGAGGGTAGGGGGTAAAGGAGGAAGTGATGGGTCATTTGCACATCATTTGTATGTAATTTGCATGGTGCTCTTTTGATGTCCAAAGGCACTGAAATTTCCTGTCTTTGCTCCTTTTCCCCTTTCTTTCCTCTGTTCCTTTCTAACCTCCAGGCGACTCCCTATCTCTCTCCTCTTCCCCACAGCTTTTTCTCTTCCTGGCTAAACAGAGAAACGGCCTAATAGGCCACGGAGGTGGCACCTTCCCCACCTCCCATCTGCCCAGAACTCAAAGAGCTGATTTCATGGAGACTATGAGTGTTCCATAGAAGCACTCATAGTCTCCACGAAGGAGGGAGGGACAAAGGGGTCTTTTGCACTCCTGTTCCAGTTCATCTAGTTGAAATGGTCATCAAGCAAGTCACAGAGGGAAGGAATAAAAATCATCGAACCCTGCCCTTTGCCCCACCCAATCTTCGAAGGCCCAGAAAGAACAGAAGGAGGAGGAGCAGAGAGAACAGAGGGTCTCTGCTCTGCCTTTACTTGCCGTGTCGTGTGACCTCGGGCAAGTCCCACCCGCTGTGGACCTCTGTTCCCTCATACGATTATGTAGGTTCCTTCCACCTGGAGTTATATGCTCATAGAAGGGAAGAGCAGAGAAGAGGAGACTCAGGCTCAGACACTGGAGGCCAGGATTAAAAGTACCAGCTTTGGAGTCAGGCAGGCCTGGTCTAAATTTCAACTCTGCCATCTACTAGCTGCATTAACCTCCCTGAACCTGAGTTTCCTCATCTATAAAAGGAACCTAAAAATTGTATGTTCCTCCTAAAGGTGTGCTGACTGAATAAAAAGGTACATGCCCAGCACTTTCTTGGCCTATAGGAAGCATTCAATCAATATGGATTGAATGAATGAGTAAATGAATGAAGGTGAGGTCCTGTCTGCTACCTCTCCCCCACGCCTCTCACCTTCCCATCCTTCCCCCAATCACCCCCTCCCCTGGTCCGGAACCCAAAACTGTTATTCCAACTCTGAAACTATAATGCTCCATCTCTTCCCCAATGGGCCCCATCTCCAAGGGTTCCACCCCCACCCGCATCCCCAGGACCCCAGTATCCTAGGCTCCTAGAGCTGGAAGACCCTTAGCAATCATTAGGTACATGCCCCTCTGGCCTCTGGAAAACTAAAGCCCAGAAAAGGAATGTAACTTTGCACATGGAATAGAGAAACAGGTTCCAGATACTGGTGGTCAGAGAATCAGACCCTTGGGGAACATGGCTATACAAATGCTATGCAAATAGAGATATGGAAATCACAAGCGCACAGGGGTATATAAACTACGTGCAGGCATTTCTCTAGGAGGATGGTAGGTGAAGTGCAGTTGTAGGTAAGGAATGGCCTCAGGCTTGGGGTGAAACCTGAAGTGAAGGAAGGGAGGGAAAGTAGAGGAAAGAGGAGGGAAGGAGGGACAGTCTGGCATGTGCCAAGGTGCGGGGGCGTGTCTCTGGGTTCACTAGGCCTCCGAAAAGCTACTGATCTCTTTCCTCAGCCAGAAGAAACAGGAAGAAAGTCTCTTCCCTTCTTGCCAAGAGTGGGCGGAAGAAAGGTTGGCGCGGTTCGGGGAGAGTGGTGTGTGTGGACCCGAAGGAGCGCTCGTTAAACACTTTCCCTCCGGGGCCACTGTGGCACCCACTGGGCCCTTTCTGACACCTGTGTACCCTGCACTGTGTTTGGTGCTGTGGGGGCAGCCCATCAGTTAACAGCCAGGAGATAGGATAAGTAAAGTCCTGCAGAGCGAGCCACAGGGCTATTAAGAACATTGAAACGTTATGGTAATTTAATAACAGATCAGATCACTTCCAGCTTCAGAAAGGAGGTGGCATTTGAATCGTGCACGAAGGGAGAAGAGTGCAGTTCTAGAACAGGAGCCCTGACACTTACTGGAAGGGTGACTCTGGGCACACTAAACTCTCTAAGCCTCATTTTTCCCATCTGTAAAATGGAAATAATAACAGTCCAGTTTACGAGTTGTTAGGAGGACTAAACAAGATCAGGTGCCTCTCTCAAGTGTTGGTTAGCACAGTGCCTGATGCACTGAAAGCTCAATAAATGCTGGATATTATAATGGGGATTATCGGGGTGGATGGTGGGTGGACATACCAACTGGAAAGAACAGTGCAAACAAGGCATAGAGGCAGAAAAGCCCAGGACTTGCTCTGTAAGCAGGTTGATCGGGAGACCCCTCCGGAAAGAAAGGCGAGGTCTGTCCTGCTGTGGGCACATGGCTTTCAAGGCTTATACGCAGGTGGTCTCTTCGCCTTGGCACCTCTTCCTGGGACCTGAAGAGAGGAGGAGAAGGGTGGGGGGAGCTCAGGTGACGAGTCTGTGATGGGTGCTGCAGAGAGCACTGGAGTGGGAGTCCAGAGACCTGATCCCAGCCAGCTTCCTTCCATCACTAGGGAATTGTGTGCCTTTGGATAAGTCACTTCCCAGCTCTGTAAATGAGGAGGTGGCTGTTCCCATAGCCCCTGACACTAGTAAATAGCTTTCACATCATACTCTCATAGAGCCTCGCAGCAACCTGGGACCTGGTGGGGCAGGCAAGAGACACTATCTTCACCCAGAAAATGTGATAATTAGCTGGGCCCCATCTAGGTCCCAGGATGTGGTGAGGACGCACAGGGGGCCTAGGTGAGCTTGACCACCTGCTAACTTCAGATAGATAGATGCCAGTGAAGATTAACACCTGCCCCGTTTTACGGATGCGTAAACTGAGTTCAGGGAGGTGATGAGCCTTGTGTCATGTCACACAGCCGGTAAGAGGCAGAGAGGTAGGATTCCAACACCAGATTCTTCCCAGCACACTCCCGCGGCTTCTCCAAACACTTCCAGAGCTCCTCGCAGAGCTGGGGTGTCTGTCCAGACGGAAGCTCAGCCCTCCCCACCCCCACCCCCGTCCCCGCTGGTTAATATGCTAGGGGTTCCTCAGTAGGGCAAGCTGTTGGGCCGGGCGCGGTGGGGAGAGGCCATTGGCGGGTCCGAGGCGGACAGGTGTTCCTCAGGGTCAGGACCCGC